TCTCTCTCTCTCTCCCCTCTCTCTCTCTCATCCCCCCCTCTCTCCCTTTCTCGCCTGCTCTTTGTCAAAATTTAACAGACGTCATTGGCTTCGTTTTGAATGTACATATATATATGTATATATACGTACATGCATTGGTTTTATTTTGCCTCTCGGAAATAGCCGCACAAATTTTAATTCGGCTGGTTATATAACGACTCTAGCGTTCTCCGTCAATATCGTGAAATGCGAACGTGATTAACTGTTTTGTTTTTTTAGTCTCTGTCTCTTTTTCTCTCTTATTTATATTATTGCTGATATTTTTGCGTATAGTGATATATTGTTGATTAAATAACTGGTCGATATTGGCGGAATATGTGAAAAGTTCACCGTGTGATTTGTTTAAACTTTTGTATTGTATCAACCATGAAAAATATGAGAAGCTAAGTTGGGTCTTCTGTAATTTCAACCATTTATTCGCTTCAAGGACATTTCCCGTCGCGCATAAGATAACAATTCTGCGACGTCTAAGTCAATTAAAGATTTCCCGGAGTAATGCCCGTCGGCTTGACTGCACCCCTTCGTCAAACATTGGGAAAAGCTATCTCTTTTTTGGATAAATAAACACACTCTGAAAGCTTTGATGTATGTTCCAGGCGGGTTTTATATTTGTTTTGTCGATTTGTAATTCGAGCGGCGCGAGTGCATGTGAAAGTGTGTAAATCGCGACTAGTGATGGTATTAGCTCATAAATCACATCGGGAATCATGAGAGGGAAGTTCAAAGTATATAAGAGAAGCCAGTCCTCTTCTTGCAAAAAGCTCAGAAAGCTTCGAGATCAAGTCGTAGGTCACCTATATGCTTGACACCAGTTCTACCTTTTCAAAGATCTCCCATGTCAAGACGGAAAAGTCGATTGCACTTTATAACGTAAAAATAGAATTTTTGTATTAGAATTTCTAACGTGTTGACGACTTGAAATACGAGGAACATTTATATCCGACATTTATATACGAGACATCATCTACATCTGCTTTCATAAAGCGTTTATGAAAACTGATGAATGCAAAGGAAGAAAGAGAAAGACAGAGAAAAAGAAAAGGTAAAGGCGATGTTTTTGATATGATATTCTTGATATAGATTAAGATTCGTTCTTACCTTGAGGAATTTCATAGCGTGTGCTCCACACATTTAGCTCCTATTGATAAGATATACCATTTCAACGTGAATATATTGATTTCCGTGTTGGCTCGTGCTACTGATTCAGTTAGTTCTAACTAGCCATTTATTTTTTGACGTTATTCGAAGCGATTGATTTCGGTCAAAATATTTTATAAGGAACGGTACAACGTACACAAAAAAAGACATTCTTGTTGGAAAATATCTTTATTTTTAATATGTTAATCTTCAAATGAGATTACATAGCGTTAAACAAAGATAAGTTGTTTGCAAGAATTTTTTTTATAATTCAAGGAAGAAAAAACCTGCGTTCTTATTATTCAAATATAATTTTTATTAAAAGAAAGCATAACATATTGGATTGAGAATACCGTGTTTTTAAATGTCGTAAGAAAATATTCATTATCATCAAAATAATCGTGTTGTATTTCTTATGAAATTATTATAATATTCAAACAGAATTATAACATTATGCTGAAATTATAAATTATAACATTAGAGAATCTTGAAATTCAAAGCCATAAAATTTTCCTAACAAAATAATATATACATGTGTTTATATGTGAAATAATGATTGTATTAATTTGAGTATATTAATTTTAAATGGATAGGGAAATTTGCAACATGACATATTTAAAAACAATATTTTCAATCCAATATTTACTTTTCATAAATGAAAATTATTTCTAAACAATGATACAATCATTCTTCGTTAAAAATCATGTAAAATATTCTTGCTTGCAACTTATTCTCGTTAGCGCTATGTAATCTTATTTGAAAGTTAACATGTCAAAAATAAAGATATTTCGCAAACAAGAATGTAATTTTTTTATGCCTGATAATACGAATCGATCTAAATTTCTAATTAAGCATAAACAAATCTCGAATAATGGTGAGAGAAACCAATTGATGGGATTAATTAATTAAATAATACATTTTCACAAACCTGCATAGAGAGTGCAATATTAGTTAATGTCCTGATTAAATTGCCTATTAAATATTATTCAGTCAAATCAATAGATTTAGCGTTTACCGACACGAGATTATATTTTTTCAAAATAAACAGCAATCCTATTTAGCGTGAATGCTAAAAGCACAAGTCACGATATTCTTCACAAAAACGGTATGGTGTAAACAACGTATATGTATTTTATTTCAGATAAATATCTCAACATTGAACATTGACTAATGTATATATATACATATATATATAAATAATATATATATATACATATATATATATATATAAATACATATATATATATATCGTTTACTCGTTTACGTCGCAGTGGTACTCCGATATTCGTTAATATATTATGTATTTTTCTAGCTATATATCACTCGTCTACAGGTCCGTTACAAACTATCTGATCGCTTAATATCGATTATGCGCAATAATGATTTCTTTATCCCTTACATAATTTCTTAATCATCCCTGTATGCATTTTTATTTATTTATATATATATATATATTTACTCTCGGTCATTTTTTTCCCTTATCTACCGGTGAATCGTCGTTGTGATCGCGTCGACGATCGTTACATCGTACGTACAACGTTTATCTACTAATTAACTATTTTTATCACAATTACAGTATTATCATTAAAGCCGTTAGAGCGCCGGGCGAACTCTGCCAGAACACTTCTACGATCCGTTTGTTTCTGTACGAGAATAATTATCGACGATAATTATCTATGGCTTCGTCTAGCGGTGCGTCCGCCCCTCACATATAATGCCGAGGAGAACCGAGGAGAAAATACTTGAGAATTTACTCGCAGAATATAAAGTTTATTTTTACGAATAAACTTTACGTCCCACAAGCAAGTTTTCAAGTATTTGTTTTTTCTCAGCGCGCACTCACGATTGCCTTTAGCAAAAATTCCGCCGTGAGCTCAATTAGCGCCGACTAAATGAAGATATAAAATAAAATACAAGAATAAAGTGCCGACGATGGAAAATAAACGCTGCCACGTGAGATCTTCGATATAACCGGGAAAATCAGAACGGCTTGAATTTTTCGAAGCGATTTCCATGCTGCGCAATTTGACATTAGTTTTGTTAATTTCATCAAGTTAGTTATACGTATAAGTTCTATTTAATTTCAATATCTTTAATCAAATTAATATTTTTATATTGAATATAATCATATTTTACCGATAGCTTTTACCGCGACGGCTCGATATCGAAAATTGAAAAACGATGATGAAAAATATGCGCATTGAAAATTTTCGCTAGAGACAACAAGTCTCTCTCTCTCTCTCTCTCTCTCTCTCTCTCTCTCTCTCTCTCTCTCTCTCT